AAATTGCCATAGTTTTGTATTTCAAATCCAAGTAGCGTCCGACTCGGACTCACCCTTCCACTGGACAAGATAGTCTGTCCGCCAATTCTTCTTACTTTGGCCAAGGGTCCTATGATCCAAATTTTTCTCCATCTCCTTCGTGAAATGGTCCCGCAACGTAGGAGAAGCTCGAGTAGAGACATTTCGGCTTGCCTCAAACAAATCAGGATGATACTTCTTCAAATATGATAAATGAAATATGGGATGCACCTTCAACCGGTCAGGCAGCTTAAGCCGATAGGCAACATTCCCAACTTTGCTCACGATTTCAAAGGACCCTCGTACTTTGGAATCAGTCCACGATGGACTTCCTTTGCCGAGATCCTTTTCCATACCTTTGGGCTTACTTTTAACAACACAAGATCCCCGAAAGTAAATTGCACGTCCCGTCACCCACAGTCCGCATATTTCTTCATTCTTCGTTGTGCCTTAGCAAGGCTATCTCGGGCCTCTACAAAGAGTTCATGCTACGCCCGAGCATATCGATATGCCGCGGGGCATTTCCCACCAGTCCGCTGTACAGCTACATCATGCAGTAACTGGGGCTGCTGTCCATAAACCAGCTCAAAAGGTCTCATACCGGTCGCCGAGGACTTGTGCAAATTATACCAGAACTGGGCCATATCCAACAATTCCACCCAATTATCCTGGATTGCGGTAACATAATCCCTGAGATATTCTTCAAGAAACTGATTCATCCGTTCAGTTTGGCCATCAGTTTGAGGATGATAGGTCGTGGAAAACTTCAGTTCGGTCCCCATCAGATTGAACATGGTCGTCCCAAATCGTCCCGTGAAGCGCGAGTCACGATCGCTCACTATGTCATTGGGCATACCGAAATATTTCACCATATGCTTGAAGACTAACTCAGCGGCAAGGTCTGCCGAGCATGCACCTGGAGCAGCAATAAATATCCCATACTTTGAAAATCGATCCACAATGACCAATACCGAGGCCATACCTTTCACCTTTGGAAACCCGCCAATGAAATCCAAAGATAGTGACTGAAAAGGCTTGTCCGGAATAGGCAAGGGTTGCAACAGGCCTGCCTCTTTCTTCTTTTTGGTCTTGTCTTGCTGGCAAACAAGGCACGTTCGGACATAGGACTCAACGTCATCCAGCATTTTTGTCCAATAAAACTTTCGCATCATCAAAGCGTACATACGCTCAACCCGAGATGTCCAGCCCACTGAGAGTCGTGATAATCTTTCAGGAGCTCGCGCCTCATTCCTCCCGATGGAATATACATCCTTCGACCTCTGGCATAGAGTAAGCCGTCCTCCAGCCAGTACTTGCGCACTTCACCGGCTGCCACTTTCTCGGTGAGTTTTACATAGACAGGGTCTTTAAGGGATTCCCCACAGACTTTCTTAACAAATTCGAACTCAACACATAGGACACCACAGCCTTTTGACTCAGAGCATCAGCAACATCATTATGTTTCCTCGGCCGATGGAACCAATCAAAATCAAACTCCCCCAAGAATTCTTGCCACCGTACCTTCTTTGGGGACAACTTCTTCTGAGTTCGAAAATAAGTATTGGCTACATTGTTCGTAACAACCGTGAACTTTGTTCCCAATAGATAGTGACGCCACATTTCCAAACAATGAATCACTGCCGTCATTTCCTTCTCATGGGTACTGTATCGGGTCTCAACATCCTTCAATTTCTGACTCTCAAAAGCAATAGGATGTTTGTCTTGGACCAACACCCCACTAATAGCATGATCTGAAGCATCGACTTGTACCTCGAATGGCTGGTCGAACTTTGCTAACTTTAATATCGGCTCTTTGGTCACAGCTTGCTTCAGCAAATCAAAGGCAACTTGTTGAGATTTGTCCCACTCCCAACACCTGTCCTTCTTCAGTAAATCCATCAACGGGCTGACTACCTTCGAATACTCTTTAATGAATCTTCAGTAATAGTTTGCCAACCCTAAGAAGGAACGCAACTCGGTCACTTTGGATGGTTCGGGCCAATCAGCAACAGCCCGCACCTTTCTAGGGTCCATGTGAATACTTCCTTGGCTGATGATGTGTCCAAGGAATGTGATTTCCTCCCGACAGAATTTGCATTTCTCCTTCTTAGCATACAACTTGTTTTCCCTCAATTTCTGAAGCACACATCGCAAGTGCTTGACATGCTCATCAACCGTCTCAGAATAGATCACGATGTCATCCAAATATACGACCACAAATTTATCCAAGTACTCGTACAACACATCATTCATCAGATTGCAAAACGTAGCAGGGGCATTGGTTAACCCGAAGGGAATCACCAAAAATTCAAACGACCCGTACCTTGTCACACAAGTGGTCTTTGCCTCGTCGCCCGGGGAAATTCGCACCTGCCAATACCCAGAATGCAAATAAATTTTCGTGTACCGCCTTGCTTGAGCCAGGTTTTCAAACAGGTTCAAGGCATTTGGAATTGGATACTTGTTTTTAATGGTAACTTTGTTCAACACCCGATAGTCCACGCACATGCGCATCGACCCATCTTGCTTCCTTTGGAACAAAACTGGGGAACCGTAAGGTGCCTTCGAAGGCTGTATCAATCCCGCACTAAGTAGCTCATCCAACTGCTTCCTCAATTCGGCCAGCTCGGCTGGTGGCATCCGTTAAGGAGGTTGAGCAGGGGGCTGAGAACCCGGTTCTAGTTCAATCCGATGGTCACAAGGTCTACTTGGAGGCAACTCCTTAGGCAACTCAGGGGGCAACGTATCCTTGAATTCATCAAGCACTTTACCAACAATATCTGGTACTTCATAAAATACGTCTGGTTTGGTCTTAATCAAAGCTGCAAGGTACGTTGTGTGACCATGCCTTAGTCCATCGCAAACTTTCAAGGCCGACACCATGCTTGTATCTTTCTTTGAAACAACAAACTTCACGGCAAGAGTCTTCTCTCTCCCATCATCAACCAAAAACAGCTTGCCTTCGTGTGGTTTTGGGAAGACTTTTGCCTTTTTCATGAAGTCCATTCCGAGAATCATCACAAAATCATCAAGAGGGACGATGTGCAACGCACACAATCCTTTCCAGGGTCTAACTTGCATCTCGACTTGGGCCACACCCTTGATCGGTTCACCTTGAGCATTCACTATTTTCATCTTCCCCTCGCGAGGCTCAATAGTAAAGCACAGCTTCCGGGAATACTCCTCGTTCACAAAGCTGTGGGTAGCACCGTAATCCACCAAGGCCATAATATCTTTGTTCCCTATGGCCACCTTAGTGTACATCAAGCCATCACATGCAACAGGGACTTTCTGAACTTGGTTCAACAGCAGCATCGTGTTAAGGCCCATGGTACCTTCCTCAGCATCCTTGGAGGTGCCTTGCACCACCACAGCATTTTCTTTGGCATTCGCACGTTTGGGACAATCACGCATGCGGTGGTCACCATCACACAAGAAGCACCCGCAGTTTGAACAGTCCACAACCAAAGTTTGGTTCTTGGACTCTCGGGACTTATTCTCCTTCTTTTCCCCCGCCTTCTTCTTGTATTTGCCACCATCTTTATGCTTTTTGAATTTTCCACTTTTCTCCTTAGTCGAGTCCTTTTTCTTATGGCCCGACTCAGGTCCGCCAACGACTTTAAAATCAACAAGTCGTTCTGCCGCAGCAATCGCCGATGGCAGGTCGCTCACATCTTGCCTTCTTAACTCCACTTGGTCCCAGCCTTGAAGACCGGCCATGAAGTTGAACAGTTTTTCCTTCTCTGACATTTCAGAGATATCAAGCATGACAGAAGTGAATTCCGTCACATAATCCCGTACAGCACCTGTATGTCGTAAGTTGCGCAGTGTGTTACGGGCAATCCAATCTGTGTTCCCCGGGAGAAACTGATCTTTCAACAGACCTTTCAGTGTGTCCCACGTAGTGATCTCCTCGCGATTTGCACTGGCATCGTCAGAAACCCGCGCCCGCCACTAAAGTTTCGCATCCCCGGCCAAGAACATGCTTGCTATTGAAACTTTCTGACCATCTGGGACTCCGGCAGCCTGGAAATATACTTCTATATCCCAAAGGAAATCCTCAACTTCATTTGCATCACGAGAACCGTCAAAGGCTTTAGGATTAGGAACCCGGACTTTTGGTGGACCTTGTCGTTGTTCATTGAGAACATTTGCACCAACACGTTTCAGCAATTATATATCATCTTGTACCTTGCCAATCTTATCACTCACCGCATCAGACAACAAATTGACTTCATCGTTAACAGAATCAATCCTTCCTTCAACAAATTCGGGTAAAGAGTCTACCAAACTATTTAGGGCTTGCACCGTCACCCGCAGATCCTCGAGAATATCGTTTGTTGTTCGTAATTTCTCGAAGACGGTTGCTTGCAACGATGTCTGAGGCGGTGGCCCTAACAGGTCCTCCGATCTTTGTATCCGTGCACCATAGGACAATAATAGTTCTTCTCTTTGATTATGATCACCGATCATTTCAACTTGCAGTCCTCAAAACCCAAAAATGGGCTCTGATACCACCTGTCACAGGGTCTTAAAAGAGGCTAAAATTTTTGCACCCTTAGCACCCTATGCGGCCTGGTTTTTCCCCTAACCAGTCAGCCTTTCACCTTCACACTAAACGCACAACTTAATAATACAAAGTCAGAATAGTGTTTCAAGCAATACACCAACAAGCAATGCACACAGATAGATCAAGCAATCAAACAAGGCAACAAAGTTTACGGGCTCCACACCTAACCAACAATTTCACTATCGCTGGAAAATTCGCCAAGGCATGCACACAAACTCGCGGTATCGCTCATACGTGCGATTGTGCAGCTCAAGGCCTTTATATAGGCCCGCAGGCAAGTTGCAGTTGACATCCCCAACCGCTAGGACAGGTAACCGTCGGGCAGTTTTAAAACTGCCCATATTCTAAGCCCACTCAGCATAACTGTCCCCATAACGGTCCCAATACACGGACTATCAAACAAGCGCACCACGTGTCCAATGTAACCATCGGGTACACGCGTCGCCCATCTGATTCATTCTGCCATGCACACTTGAAGATTTCCCGCCTAGGCCACGTGGAACAAGATAACAGCATCCACGTGCAACCAACATGCATCCGAAACCTTAACCGTTCCCGCTAACAGTTTGAGCGTCGCGCCAACATTTACACGCCCATCAAGCCGCATCAGCATCCCGCATAGCTTAGAGTTAATCCTGCCCAATGTAGTGCAAAGGTGCCGTACCGCCTTGCTACTTTGCCCGCTCGTCTTTGCGTGGCCATGCACAACCCGCAAAGACTTGACTGATCCCATGCTCAGTCTACATTGACTCGGCCCTGCAACTCAGCATCCTCGCCAAGCTAG